GATGATGATAATGGTGATGGTGATGATCAAAGGATGCTGATGTTTCATGATAATGATGATGATGATGATCTCATGATACTCAGGGACAATTTAGATTACTTTAAGAATTGAATTCAAGGTTTGAAAGATTTAAAAATAACATTTATGATTATCTCAACTCTTTGCTAAATTGTAGGTCAATTTTGATCATGGATTATCATTGACTTTGAATAGTCTATGATTTTTAAATCATTGATCTGATAACTTTTTCACCTTCTCAAAAGAAATCGTATTTCCCTTCCCACCCTATTTATTTAAACTGTCCTTTGGTCAGTTTGGTTGTGACTTTCAAAATTGATGATAGTTCTGATGATGATGGTGATAATCTTGATGATGATGATTGTGTCTAGTGTAATATGTTGACCACTTACTTTGAAAATGAAATAACAAGTTGACAAGTAAAATGTTGGAATCAGTTATTTTTCCCTTGAAATATTATTGATGTTTTATTGTGAAAAGAATGAGAAAAAAAAATTCCTATGTAACATAATCATTTTATCAGATTTAAAGTTGCAGTTTGATTTTATGGTCACAATTGTAACTCTCATCGTCAAAATTTATCCTTTTGTCATCCTCATCTCATATAAACCACAAGTAACATTATTATCACTAGAGAGGAGAAAAAAATTTCACAATTACATCAATATGATATATAATTTCTTGTTTATTATTGTTTTGATATCAGCTGATAACTTGTAATGTATTGACTTGATAAAATTATCTTGTAAAAGTTATACTAGAGATGAAGATGATGATAAAATTGTTTTTTTTCAGGGTGAAAATGATTGATTACTATTTACCAATAGATGACATGGAGTTTATAGTTGATGATAACATAATTTGTGTTCTAGTTATTCAGAATAACCTCAGAACAGAATGGAAATATTCAAAAAGGTAAAAAAAAGAATGTAAAATTTTCCTTGTAATTAGATCTCAGAATTTGTTACCATGGTTACAATTATACTGAAATACATCATTAGGAAATTCATTCGTAATTAATAATAATAATATCAAAGGTAAATTCTCATTCACTAATTAGACTCTGATTTAACTAATTGGTGATTCGTTAATAATACAGCCATGAACTTGGAATTTACCAAGTCGCTATAACCATGAATTCCTTTGCAAATTCATATTTTGTTTATTAATTTTTCTCAATGTTCAATCACATTTTCTCATGATTACTATTCAGTGTTATTAGATTTTCTCCCCTGTAATAATACTTTATTTCCAGGATTGAAACATATTCATTTTGATTCAAAGAGCGAAAATGTATTAGCAGATATTGAAACAATTGAATTAATATTGATACTGTTTTATTCATGTTGATATTTGTATTTTGCTTTTTTCTTGTTTATCTTTCAAATTTCAAATGATTGATCATATGTTTTTCCTATTGTTTTGATATTTTTATGAGATAAATGTGATTCTCAATGAATCATGTATTCATTTTATCATCACCATTGTGATGATGATTTCAGATATTGAAATAAATGTTTCATCATAAACATCAGCAAGATGATCACTTTTTGCACCTAATCAAGTTGATTCCTTCACCATCATTACAATCATGGTGATAGCTGCTTTTAGTTGATCATGAAATTAATCTAATCATTTCTGATTAGTTTAAATTGTTCCAATTTAATAATATTAATAGACTCAATCTGTGAACCCTTTTACAAATGATTTTGTTTGATGATGATGATAGTTCAGTATCAATATGGTTAATGTTCAATATGTTGTGATACCTTTTTCGTCATGATAATGATCACCTTCATCTTATTATTATTTATTATATTTATTCATGTTAACTTGAATGTAATATATGTGATCTATCATGATTTATCATGGTGACATGGATTTACATGTCAATAGTTTATCATACTTTATCTTAATGCTTGTTCATTTTCACCAAGAAGGTCAGAGAGAGAGGAAAAAATTAATCTAAATAACTCTTGATGATGATACATCCTGGATAAACCGAGAGATGACCAGTGGCTATTCAAATTCATTCACTGAACTCCAATTCGACTTCAATTTCATTTTCTGAGTTAAACTTATTTACACTAGATTATTGTGTATCTGAGGTTAACCACATCATCATCATCATCATTTTGCTCCTCATCTTTAGTCACAAAAAAAGGTGACATTTCAAGTTTTTTTTTGTGCTTCTCTCTCTTGTTCATTCTGTGACTTTTTTTTGCATCATTCAAGAAAAAAAAAGATGAAGATGAATTGATGAAGATGAAGCTATATGATGTTCCCATCCTTATGATGATAATGATGATGATGTGTTTTGTTGGTGTTATATCAATTATCACAAAAGTTTTTCCTTCCAATGTTGATTCAATTTCAGATTCTCCATGAAAAGGAAGAGTGAGTTATCTTCATAGACAATCTTCATATTCCAATTTTATTAGTTAGCATCCTCATCACTTTTGCCCTCTTTTTTTTGCAAGAAAAAAAAATCGATTTCAACCGATCCCTCATCTTTCTAACTTTGAATATTTATCTTTTGTTGCAATTTTTCATACAATAATAACATGAATCAATCATGATCATCATGACGATAATTATGATCATCATGAAGGTAATAATAATGATAATATTGTTGTTATTGTGCTGTTATACTAGTAGTTTATTTTGCTAGTGAGAAAAAAATTGAGATTATTCAGCATTCTGGTTATTCACCTGAATTATTGATGAAACTTTGTACCATTGAGATTGAATCAATTTCAAGTTAAACTTATCATGATGATGGATTTTGTTTCTAGATAATATTTTCATCAGGTAAATATACAATGTTACATGGTCACTTTTGGATATCATAATCAAATGGACACTCATGTTGACCATATTTCTACTCAAGTTGATCTCATGTTTCCTCAGGGATTGTTGAAATTTGTTTTGTATCAAGTTAAACAAGATGCAAAAGGATAAAAAGTTGATGATGATGATGATAAAGATGGATAGATGGTAATGATGATCAATCTAATGAAAATGTTATCGATATATATTCACTGGGAACGGAACAATCTGTTTATCAGTTAACTTAACTAACGAATGAGTAAATGTAATATCAAAGAGATTTGATTTCATCAAAAAAGGCTAAGTAACTTACAAAGAAGGTAGATGATGATGATGATGATGAAGATAAAGATGATCAATGAAAGAATCATCAGTCGATTTGAAAGCAATAATAAGGTTGAAGATGCGAATAGACAAAGAGAGATGCCCGAGATTCCTATTGAGTTACATTAGAGATGCTGGAATAATAATTTGAAGACTTTGTTGTTGTTGTTGATGAGGATGATGTTATTATTAGCATTGTCTCGGTTGATTGGTTTGTTTGATGTTGATTGTAATAATGGTTATACATCCAATTGATGATACATGATGGTAAACATATATTAAGAGTCCTTGAAACAAAATGAGCAAGAATAATCAGAAAACCAGAACAATAAGAACTCATTCAAATATAAATAACATGATGATAACCTTTATTTTTCCTGTTCATCCTCCCACTTCCTATTTTCTTGTGTATATCAAGTAGCTAATATCGTCTATTGATTAGTAAATGATAATAGTAAAACATTTTTAAACTAATTGACTTTTTTTCCCTCTATTTAATTAACATATTTAATCCATCCAGTTAATCATCATCATCAAGAAATCATGATGATATCATCTGATTCCCGACTCATCATTTCAATTTGAAACTTTCACCTTATTATTTTTGCTTAGATTAAATTTTCATCTTCACATTCAAGTGATTTTATCAGAATTTAATTCTTAGTTGATGAAAATGATACTATTATTTTGTACCTTCTCTCTCTCTCTTTCTCTCAAAAATATGCTGAATTATGAAAAGATGAAGATGAAGATGAAGATGGTTTCTTTATGACCTCAAGTGATGCTTGACAAAAAAATATGCGATGAAATTGATCTTCATCTTTATATTTTTCTTGATATTTTTTACTAGATTATTTCTATTCTTTCAACTTTTATTAAAGTCTTTATTAACTCCCTCAGGCTAATCCACAAGTTTATCTTCATCATCTATTTTTCTTCATCCTTTATTACTTCATCTACTTATCTCCTTGTCTTTACAATCTTCCCATTATATTTACATCTCTCATCCTCCTCTTTATTTTACTCTTTTTTGTCTTCTTTTGTTTTTTTTCCTCTGTCATCCTGGTAACTGGTTAATATCTAAGATAAGATTCATTAAGCTAATTAGAAATGCAATCGAGATCCCTTGAAGATTTGATTCCTACCAAAATTGATTAACTTAATTAGAATCAACAATCATGAAGGTGTATATTGTTGTCTCTTGTATGTTATCATCCTCATCATCTTGAGCTGAAAATAATATAAAAGACAAAGTAACATTAATATAACAATGATTTAGTTAAATTTTCATATTGTTAACGATAAACAATTAAAGACAATCAAACAACAATGAGAAAACAAGATCCACTTTAATCAACCATTTTTAATCCAATTCATGATTAAAATCAATTCATTTCAATTGTTCAGATAAAACCATAAGAATCAAACAATTGCTATTCTTTAGTCAATTTCAATCTAAATTGTTAGTCCATTGATGAAAAACTCACGTACATCAAACAGTTAATTGTTACAATTGATAATAATGTTTTAGCACAATTAAAACTGATTAGCAATTGTGAAATAATTTTACAATCTTAGTTTAATAATCATTGAGAAAACAGTGAGATGAATTAGTAAATTGTTAGTATTAAATAGTAAATATGATTTTAATTTAATTTCTATTCAACTGTTTTGATTCGTAAACCTAATTACTTTTTGCCTTTCACATTTATTATTTTTTTTTGTTGGTTGTGCACTGATTGTTTACCTTAATATGATTATCGTTACATAATCATGATTATCGTTATTATGATTGCCATTATTTACCCTGTAATGTTATCTCTCCATAGACTGAGCCAATTAGATATTCAGTTCATGAAAAGGATTCACCAGAAGGTTAACCTGGTTCCCATAATTGCAAAAGCTGATTCATTCAGACCCGCCGAGTTACACCTCTTCAAGAAAAAGGTAAACAATCATCATCATCATCATCATCATCATCATCTCTCTCTCTCTCTCTCTCTCTCTCTCTCTCTCTCTCTCTCTCTCTCTCTCTGTCACTTTCTTGTTGCTTTTTTGTTCCGTTAACTTTATCAGCTGTTGATATGTTATTGTTTTGACAGTCAATTTGATTTGATAATTGATTGAGAAATTAATTAAAGAGTCTCACTTTCTTTTCTTAACGTTTTGTCAACAGGTTCTGAAAGAGTTGGATGATCATGGAATCAACATCTTCCGTATTCCTGAATGTGACAGTGATGAAGATGAAGATTTCAGACGAAAAGATAAGGAGATTAAAGTAAGTTGACAATAAGACTACTACATTATTGGTAAAACAATAAGGAGAGAGTAACTTAGTATCATCTTAATCTTTCCTTTACCATAATTATTATACTTTTAATTAGAAAATGTTGATCAGTTGATGAAAATGTCAAACATTAAATTGTTTACTTGGTATCGGATTTTTGGTTGCCTTCAACAATCAATAATCACAACCAAGATTAAGTTTCACATAGTAATTTTTAATTGAATAATTTTTTACCTTAATTGTTATGTTTTAATTGTCCATTTAAAGGAGAGCATTCCGTTTGCGGTTGTTGGAAGTACCACTCCGATTGAGATCAATGGACGGAGAACTCGAGGTCGAGTTTATCCATGGGGTTCAATTGATATTCAGGATGAACAATTTTCTGATTATGTTAAATTAAAGACATTCCTGAGGTAAATAATATCATATCCCTCTCACTATCTCACTCCCTTTCTCTCTTATTCCAAGTCTATAATATAATCTCACCCACTTATTTATTAATTAATTGCCAATAAAAGACAATGAAAGGATGATAATTGAAAATAATTAATGCTTTAGGTGTAAAAACCTTATCACCCAAATTAGAGCAACCAACTTTTACCTTAATTACTTATCATCTTCATCGTCATTAATATTATCTAGACTTTTACTTTTAACTTGAGAATTATCATCATCATCTCTTTCCTTTCACCATCTTAACGAAATGTCTTTTATCCTCCCTGTCTAAGGTTATCCATATATTTCCTGTTCGTTTCTTTTCCATATCCTTTTTTATCCTATTCTTCACATCCTCGCTCTCTCTCTCTCTCTCTCTCTCTCTCTCTCTCTCTCTCTCTATCGTCCGGCAATTTTTTATCGTCATCATCATTATCTTCATCTTCCTTGGTATTCCACATCCTTCCTCTTTAACTCCTTCAATCTTTATTATGATTGAATGATAAGAAAAGTTGAAGAGAAAAAAATCTCTTCTATTTAATTCCTTCTACCTTTTCAATATTATCTTCCTAATTTCCATGATAAAATCGATTCGATTCTTTTTCATTGTAACTCATTTTCTCATCATTTTTTTTCATTCTCTCCTACACTCATTGATGTCTTTCTCTCTCATGGATAACAATACAATCAACATGATTTGGTATCTTCATCATTTTAAAGTCTTCACATGCAAGATCTCAAAGACGTAACCAATGAAGTTTTGTATGAAAATTATCGAGCTCTTTATTTAACTAAACTCGGAAGTGGATCTATAAGGTATTATCATGAACTCGACAAGATTCTTATATTTAGAATATTTAGAATACTTTAAACTCGAATTTTTTTTCTCAATCGATTTTATCTTTTCATTGACGTTTTCGTTGTTACTTTCTCCACTTTCTAAACTCTTTAGTCCAATACCTGTTCGAGCCAGCATTTCATCAGCTAACGCCGAGGCAGCTAATTCCACCGGTACTAACAACTCAAACACCTTAATGCCTGCTGATAAATTACTACAAATGAAAGAGGAAGAGGTAAATCAATTAATTCTGATAGATTTGATTTCTCCAAATTTTAATTTCTCTCTCATTTTAACTAATCACTATTTTGATATCTTCTCTTTCAGATTCGTCGTATGCAGGAACAATTAATGCATATGCAAGAGGTTCTTCGTCAACAAGCCAGTGGTAATCAATCAGCTGATTCGCCCTCACCCTCAAGTCCAGCTCATCGAGATGATTAACAATGCACAATTTAAATGACTTCGTTTTTTTAATCATCTTACTCTTTCCATCAAACCATCATAATCAACACTAATTTAACAACAACGAAAACAATGGCGTGGTAATAAGTGAATAATCTATCCCACCTCATATATAAACTACATCATTATCCATTTATCATTATATCCATCATTTCCTTTTCCTCTTTTGCTCATTATCCTTATAATATCAGTATCACTGCCAATGTTGTAATTAACTTTTTTTGATTGTCTTCTCACATCAACCAGATGAAAACAAATCTAATTACATGATGTGCAAAATAATCAAAAAAATGTCAGTGTTAACATTGAAAATCAGCACTAACAAAACACCAACACCTATTAATCCAATTTTCTCAGGGTAATTAAGATACAGTAACATTAACCCAGCCAATCCAATATCCACGAAAACTATTGGATTGAAAATAATATAAAATCCATATCAATGTTAATCACAATTAGTAAAAACAACCATTAACTTATCACAAGTTAATCACAATTAAATCCTAATAATCTAAAACATAGCATTACCAAAGACGATTACATTTTCACCCATACAACCAAGTTAACAATCAACTGTAACAATTTGTTAATCAACAACAACAACAACAACAGTGACAATGATAAGTATATACAAAGAAATGAATACATTTTCACAATAATTGACAATTATCCCAACAATCATTTTGAAATAACAAATTTTTACCTCAATTTAAATCACAATCAATCAATCAATTGATTTTCCACTTTTCATTTTATTATATTAATCAACCAATATAATTACATCATCAAATTATTTTAATATTTGTTTTGTTGTTGTTTCTTTTTCTATGTCTCTTTTTTTTTGTCATAATACTTATTGTTTACAGCTAATTTCCTCTTCCGCCTCCACCCATTTTTTTCATATGCATACACACCCATTAATTTACACACTTTGTCACTATTTACACGATGAAAACTTTATCCTGAGGATAAGACAAAAAAAAATATCGATAATTAATCAATGTCAATCCAATTGATTGGAAATCTCATCAATATGTATTCCCAAATGTCTATGTACTTAATTATCATCTAGTCAATGGAAAGACAATAATATGATGTTAACTGGCAATAAAATAAATATTAAACAACAATTAAGAGCAATTTAAAGACGAAGCACATTTAATACTATTATTATTATTTGTTTTAATTGTTTCCATCTTTTCAAATTTAATTTGTTTTCTTTTCTCCGATTAATTATTATCGAGAAACTGTCAATAGTTAATCATTGATCATTAATCAAGAATCAAACATGATGATTAAGTTGTAATTCTGGTTACCAGTTGAAAAACAGTTATGCATTTAATACTTAATCCAATCAACAATTTATCATGATGATCATGTTACCATAGAGATTCAATGATTAATATCATGATGATGATCATCATCATCAATATTTGATAATATTAAAGTCACAATCTCATGAACCATATGAATCAAATTGGATTGAATGACATTAATGAAATTGGATCAATCGGTGAATTGATCAACATTTAATTGTCATCTTATATTGACGATGAAGATGCTATTAAGTTAATTGTAATTACCATCAAGACAGATAATTTAAATTGATTCTGATTTCTAATTGAATTTGAATATCTCCATCCAAGCCAAGTTCTTATCAACCTTTTCCTTGGATTCTTATCCTCATGATCAGCTGATTTTAATCCGATACATGATAATTTAATTGTTGAATTATCACTCAGATGACAGTGATTTATAGTTAATTGTAAACCGATTGTTGTTTGTTGATAACCATTTGTATCATTGTTGTTGATTGTTTTGCTTTTATCAATATCGTAATTGATTATCTTGTATGGGCAAGACTGTGAAAGAAAACAAAACATTTATGATTAACTTAAATTGTTAACAATTTAAAAACTGCCAATGAAAAGATATCCGTTTATAATTAACTTTATCATGATGATAATTTTTTGATAATCATTCTTGGTGGAAATGTTTTCAATTACTTATATTTTTGGGTGAGGTTTCGGTAAAATGATTAAACAGGAAACGGAACTGATGATAATAGTTGCTAATTGTTACTAAATAGAAGTACTTTTTTGCTGTTGTTGTTGTTGTTTCTTTATAATCATTGAATTCATGTTTAAACTGAATTGAATTTAAAGAGTTTCAAAAGTTTCAAAAATTTTTTTTTCTTCATTTTCATATGATGATGATGAAAATCGTTGATGTTGGTATCATCATTAAGGAACCGGAACTCAAGCAAACAGTTAATGAGTCGAGGAAAAGGAAAAGGAAAAGATGTAGATAAATTGAGAACAGAAAATAGAAAATGTTAAAAAAAGAAAAGAAAATGAAAGATGAAGATAAAAAGAGCCAAAGGTTAGTTTATCATTTCTCTTTCCGTTCCATCTCTCTCTCTCTCTATCTCTATCTCTTTGTCTGTCTTTCACACTCTCCATCACTCGAAGAAAGTAAATAAATGATCCTTACCCTTTGATCCCAAGTAACCGGAAGTTTCCAGTGTAAATCAATTTTATCCTTTGTTGGTGTGAAGGATGTTGATCCCAGTGTCGAGATGGTGGAGTGGGAGGTAAACAATGATGGCGGAATCGTTAATGAACAATTGAGTTGAACCTCATCACCAAGTTGATATTCAGTTCTGGTAACAGTTATTATCGGTTTTAAGTAATCACTTGTGGTCACATCAGTTAATTCAATTGTCTCCTCGTCAATATCATCTCCATCTTCATCATTGTGGTCAGTTTTATCTAGTCCATGGTCATCATCATCATTATCAGAGGGTAAAATGTTATCTATGAAATTGGAAAGTATTACATAAAATATCAACATTTGATTACTTCCAATGGTTCAATTGAATATTTTGATTACAATCAAATTTAAAGGATTAATAACAAGATGACCATTGGATTGGTCTTTGGGTTAAATGGTCAAGATTAAATATTAATCATATATTATCTTGTTTCTGGTTAAATGGTTTGGATTCATAATGTTACCATGTTTTTTTGTTACCTTATGAGTTTGTGATGGATAAAAAAAATTGATTATCTTCATCATCTTCAAGTAAATTGTTATTACTTTGATGATGATAAATCAGATGACAATCATGTAAAACTCAATCACCATTAACAATGTCATGATAGTCATGGATTGAACTTAGAATCACCGTAAGAATTAAACTTTGGCTCATTTTTTTTTGCTTCTTGACCCTGATTCTGATGGTGGTCAGTTCACTGGACTTCATATTGGTCAGTTTTCATTACCTACTCTCACTGAGAGAGAAAGAGATAACCTTGCTATTCTCACCACAGTTGAATGATCTTGATAATTGGAAAAATGTTTATCATCACCAATGGAAGATGATCAAGATTAACTATTGATTAGCAATCATATTCGTCTTCAATTAAATCAACTTATTGTTAACAACTAAACCTATTTATTGACCAGACGAGTTGACCATTCATTGAATCTCAAAATTTATGATCACAATTAACAATTAACATTAATCATCATTAAACATCATAAAAGTTTTGTAAATTTTTATTTCTCTCTCTCTCTTCTTACTCTTACTCTTATCTTCATACCAACGTTGCTCTGTGATATTATTTAGCTTTGACTAAACAGGCAGGCTTGAAAAAATTCTAGTTTTCTGAAAAAGTTCTTCAAATGACCTTCAAGTGCGTTCTTTCCTGAATAGCCTCCATGACCTTGACCTTGAAATATGGTAGTTTTTGAATAATCGTCTCTCTCTCTCTCTTCTTACTCTTACTCTTATCTTCATACCAACGTTGCTCTGTGATATTATTTAGCTTTGACTAAACAGGCAGGCTTGAAAAAATTCTAGTTTTCTGAAAAAGTTCTTCAAATGACCTTCAAGTGCGTTCTTTCCTGAATAGCCTCCATGACCTTGACCTTGAAATATGGTAGTTTTTGAATAATCGTCTCTCTCTCTCTCTCTCTTCTTACTCTTACTCTTACTATTCTCTCTGTTCTTACTCTTGAGAATTATTCTAATTCTAATTTTTCTTAGCCTTTCTTTGCAAGTGTCTAATATATTTTTCTCCTAATTTCTTAACCACGTACTGTTTTTCACCCTAAATGTTTTTGTAATTATTATCTTTTTGCCTTATAGATGTCTTATAACGCTGAACAGCCAACTTTGATGATGTTGTTTTACAAACGTACGATACAGAATTCAATTCACTAGCCTAACCGCTTACAGCAACTCAATGACAATATTAATGATGTGACAGCCTTATAAATTTATAAATCGTTTTATTATGAGAGATGTCACGAGAGAACTATATTCGAATATATGCTCAGGTATAGAGATAATATCGAAATTTGGGAACAATATTTAGATTTGCAAAGAGATCGTCAATAGTATTCATCCGATTATTATTGTTACTTGTATAAAACAATATTCTATTATTTTTTCATTTATTATCAATAATTTCGTCTATTATTATCATAAGCGGAAGTTAACAATTCAAAGTCAACGGTTACTATGAATGTTTTGCTCGAGTCGAGCACGGCATCACACTAGTCACACTACGCTCTTTTCTGAATAACCTTTATGACCTTGAAATATGGTAGTTTTGTGTAATCGTTTCTCTCTCTCTCTTGTTTTCCAAGATCAATTGAATCACTTATTGATTTATTACATTAATTCATTCACCATTGAATCTAGTTCAAATTTCCGAGTTAATTATTTACTTAAATTGTAATCACGACTTTATAACAAATTACGTAAACATTGATAGTCAAAATTATGATGATTATTATGATTAATTTAATAACTATTAGAACCTTAAATAAGACAAAATAAGGTGGTGAATTGAACACCGTAAAGGTGCCAACTCCAGTGATTCCCTAACAAAATGGTGGAAAGGAAAAAGGAAGAGAGAGAAGGGGAAAAATTAAAGGGGAAGTTGAGGTGGTTTAGCCAGGTACTAAACCAGTTTTAGTACCTGGCTAAAGTTGTTATTACATCATCCGGGCGCCATCCTCGTAAAGTCCCTTTTACGAGCAGAATTATTCAATCGACTCGGTAGATTTCCATATCGAAGGTTGCAGTTAGATTGTTCAAAGTCCAATAGATAATGAAACCAAATTTTAAATGAAAATTCCCAACACCAGACCAATTACCCAGTTTAATAGTTATTGATTAAATTTATTCTTAAGATAATAATATTCAGCTTCCACGGCATAATCCTTAAATTCGTCCATTGAATTAACCTTTACCAAAGCGATATACTTTAAAATACCAGGGAGGAATCCATTTTTAATATATCTTATTTTATCATCGAGATCCATATTTGGATCAAGTTTAGCACACAGGCCAACCATTTCAAAGAAATAAGATATAACATCTTACTTCGTTGTTTTATTTTCGATTTGAGAGTAATTCATCTTTTATAGAAAGGTTGTTTAAAAGCTGCGAGTAATTTAACTTTCAAATCGTCAAAAGTAGCTGGTCGTTGATCAACAGGTTTACTTCTTATACTACCAAAATACCAATCTTTAGCAGGACCAATTAAATAAACAGGTAATCGTCTTAATTTATCAATATTTTTCAAGCCAGCAGCTTCAGTTATTTGTTCAAAATCGTCAAGCCAATCATAGGGATCAGCATTATTTCCATCAAAGTTTTTAATATTGTTTAACAAAGTATCATCGAAATATCGGCCCGTCATACTTAAGAATTTTTGTTCAATGTAATCTGACTATTAAATCCAACACAAACGAACCAGCAATCTTGAAATAAACGGCTAACTCAATCAACCAAAAAGACAAAAGTTTCACAGATCCTGGAACAACGGACAATCGAATCAGCTACTTGAACGACAAATTATTAAAATAGCAAATTATAACAAAATGATAATCAATAACTAGATTATCTAAAGAATCAAATACAAAATTTTTCTATTATGACAAATTTTCACAACAAATTGACTATTAAATCCAAAAATAAAACGAACCAACAAATCTTGAAACGAACGGTTAACTCAATTAACCAAAGACCAAAAGTTTCACAGATTCTTGGGACAACGGACAATCGAATCAATGAGTAGAAAACAAAATAAACAAAAGCACTCCAAATTAGGCAATCAAATTTTTAACTAAATTTACCAAATGACGAAGATGATAATTAATAACTAAATTATCAAGCGAATTTAACCAAATGACGAAAGTGATAAACAATAACTAGTTTATCAAACGAATTTAAACGAAATTGACCAAATGACGAAGATGATAATTAATAACTAAATTATCAAGCGAATTTAACCAAATGACGAAAGTGATAAACAATAACTAGTTTATCAAACGAATTTAAACGAAATTGACCAAATGACGAAGGTGATAAACAATAACTAGTTTATCAAACGAATTTAACCAAATGTTGAATCGAAATTAACCAAATGACGAAGATGGTAATTAAAACTAAATTATCGCGAATTTTAACCAAATAACGAAAGTGATAAACAATAACTAGTTTATCAAACGAATTTAAACGAAATTGACCAAATGACGAAGGTGATAAACAATAACTAGTTTATCAAACGAATTTAAACGAAGTTGACCAAATGACGAAGGTGATAAACAATAACTAGTTTATCAAACGAATTTAAACGAAGTTGACCAAATGACGAAAGTGATAATTAATAACTAAATTTTCAATCGAAATAAACCAAATGTTGAGCCAAACGAAGCACAATAGTAACCAATAACTAAGTTACTCAATCATTTCGACAAATTAGTCACCACGAAGACAAACGAAGCACAATTGTAACTAATAACTAAGTTACAATAACTTGTTTCGACAAATTAACCACCAATAAGACAAACGAAGATCAACTGTAACCAATAACTAGGTTACTCAATCGTTGTGACGATTTACTTATCAAGAAGACAAATAGCACAATAGTAACTAATAACTAAGTTACAATAACTTGTTTCGACAAATTAACCACCAATAAGACAAACGAAGATCAACTGTAACCAATAACTAGGTTACTCAGTCGAACGATTTACTTATCAAGAAGACAAATGAAGCACAATAATAACTAATAACTAAGTTACAATAACTTGTTTCGCCAAAGAAAAAAAAAAGAATTATTGAACTGATACGTATGTATCAAGAATCGGAACATTCACCAAAGTCCTAAACAGAAAATAGGATAAAGATTTAATTACCTCACACTACAGCAAACTAAACTATCTGAACGAATACAATTTTATCAGGGTTTGTGTTTAAAAAAAACTTGTTAAGCTGGTTCTCAGTCATTATAATCGATCTCAAAATGATCGAAGCAAAATCGATTTTAAAGGACAAAGAAACGATTATTAACAGTAATTTATCCCTTTGTTTGTGAGGTCAGACTATCGTCCGAACAACAGCAAGAGAAATAAAAAATATCAACAACCATGTAGGATGATCATCGTTCACTAATCTGAGAAACAAACATATAAACTAAACTATTGAAATATTATAACTATTAAACAAATGGAGAAATAAACTATAGAAACCAAAAAACAATAACAGAAACTAAAGGTACAAATACATAAATTTTGCGAAAGTTTTTTTTCAAACATGTTAATTATCATGAAAACACGAGATAAATAAAACAAGTGGAAGATCACGTCCAAGGGTCACCATTGTTTTCCAAGATCAATTGAATCACTTATTGATTTATTACATTAATTCATTCACCATTGAATCTAGTTCAAATTTCCGAGTTAATTATTTACTTAAATTGTAATCACGACTTTATAACAAATTACGTAAACATTG